AGCCTGCTAAATGTTCTAAATTACTTATTAATCGTTAAAACGAATTTGCACTTACTGATTTTTCAGTAGCAACAACTTGTGAATAATCAAATGATTCTCCTTATAAATATTAGCTTAGGTAATTCTTGAGAGAATCTGATTTAACAGATTTTTTAAATGGGATATCAGATAATTCCTTAATTTTCTATCCATTTTAAACATAAAATTAATTCTCAATTTAAGCTCCTTCTTCAATTGACTCTACAAAAATTGGAATTTTAGTAGAAATTCTTGATAATGGGGGATCAATAACTTATACTTTTGAAAAGATTTCAATAAAATCTGCAAAAATAAATTGTTTATCAATACAATTTCAAAATTTAACTTTATAAAACAAAATAACTTTGCTATTTGAAGCAATGAATCAAAAATGTGAAGAGCTTCATTAATAAATTTATCTTGATTTGATTAAATCTTAAATTTTGCCAGAAAAGAATGCAAATATCCTGAAATTTTAAGCTAATAAATTATATTAATAGTTCTTAATCTTTTCAGAAGATATTAAACCGAAAAATCGATTATTGTATGAAGAAATTCAAAAAAAATGTTTAGATTTGAATTCAAACCATTTATTTATTACTTAAAATACCACTTAATCTGAAGTAAATTTAGCTGAAAAGATAGAAAATTTCAAAAAAAATAATGAAGATTTTAATAGAATTTTAAAATATTTTATTAAAATAAAAAAATAATGCGAATAGGAGCTAGAATAAAATTTATACATTTGGAATGAATTAATCTTTTAATAATATTAAAATTCGTAAGATTGCTTAAGAAGTTTAATATACTATCTTGATGATATCTATTCTGATTTTTCATTAATAAATATAAAAAATGAAACAATAGATCAAATTATTGAGGAGTTGCTAAAAGTTTTTGATATAATTGCAGAAGAAACCCAAAATATTATATTAGTAAACGAAAAGCCTTTAGTTATTAAAGGAATTGAAATTATTTGGAAAATCAAAAGAAGAACTAAATAGTTATTCAATCAATAATTTAATATCCCATAAACTTAAGAAGATTACCTTATAGATTTTATTCAATTTGAATATACTTATTTTTAAACAAACCCTTTAAGATTTAATTTGAATCTGGAAGAAATACTCAAAACATATTTTAATGACCAAACATTACAAATATCCACAGATAATTACCATTAAATTAAGTTGAAAAACTTTTATCATAGAAGATTTTAAGAATATGAAAATTTTTCATCTATTTATGACACACAATTTGGATCCTATCAAGTATGCTAAAATACTTCATAATTCATATCGGAATATGAAATATATTGTGTAATTAGAACAATAACTGGAAAATTTTATTAGTGTAATTTGAATAGAGTATAAAATAACAATACAATTGAGTTACATTGTGAATGTGATAAGTTTGGTGAGATTTTCCTTACAACCTCTACGAAATTAATTGTAAATGCAAGCGAATCTCCTAAATAAATATATAATCTTGAATTAGCTCCCAAATCTTAAAACATGTTACCTTTATAACTTAGTACATGTTTTTTGTCATTAATATTTCTGAGCATTTTTATCTTTTAATTATATAAAGATAAAAAAGTCTAATAAGAGAGGTCTGATACTGAATAAAGTAATTTGAGCCCACCAATCATCTAAGAAAAAAATAGTCTAATATATTATGGTAATTCTAAAGTTTATAAAGAAAAATTTAAGGTAACACTTAATTTTTATATTAGCAAATCCATTAAACTATTTCATTATTTTATTATAAAGACAAATATATTGAATTTAGTTATAGGATTTTAGAAGTATTCTCTTAATTCAATTTATAATTAACTTTAACAATTCTTGAATGTTATTTGTTTAATAATTAAATTCTTTTGATTTGTGTTTTCATAATCCTCAACCCTTTAATCATTTTGTTGATGAGAATATTTTATAAAATAATTGAAGCAATATATAGGTTCAAAGGAATAGCTGCTTTTATTAGCCACCTTCTACATATGATATTATTGATGTCCCCAAACCTTATCATTTATATTTTTTACATAACAAAGTATCTATTAAACTATCATAGAATTTCAATGCAATCAGAATAATATATATTTGCCATTATATATTTAGGAAGTATTCTGATTTCACAAATTTTAATAGAACCGCTTACAGTATTTGGAAGAATATTAATTTATAGATTAATAGCTAAAAGTTTGAAAAACATGGATTTAAATCCTGTGTTTCATTTAATTCACTTTTTTGTTATGCATAGCAGTTTAGAAGAAATATTTGAAGAATTCACAAAAATTTGATAATAAAAACATTCAAATATTTTTATTAATTTCATTTTCTATATTATTCATTTTTAGTTATATTGCTATATTAATATAGATCTTGCTCATTGAAAATGTTATTTTATTAAAAATATCTATTGGCTTAGCTATTGATTTGTGATATCTCAGAGGTTTGAAATATTAATTTTATGTACATCATCATAAAAGTTAAATTGAAAAGAGAATCCTCAATCATATGAGAATGCTTAAAATTTCCTATTCATATACATAAATAAAATGGCTAATTGAAGATGCTGTTGTTAAAAACAATAAATTAAAAATATCATCCTCCAAATTTTTTTTGAAACTCATTTAGTTTTGGAGGATAGGATCTAAAAATTTTAAGTTTTTTTAAAATGGTCCCCATATATAAATTGAATATATAAAATAAGATTTTATTTTTAGATCTGGTTATTATAAGTTAAAATTAGGAATTCATCTGATGGAAGCAGGACCATATATTAAACATCATTGTCAAGCTACGTTATAAAACTAAGTCAGAAACTCAATTTAATAATAACGACAGCCAGAGAATTGTTTTTTAATTCATTCTTCAGGATGAATCATTAGAATGTAAACTCAATTAAAAATGACACCATTCAATAGCCCAAACTAATTAACTTCACATGATCTTTCTACAATAAACAAGAGAGGAAAATTTTAAAAGTCACGAGTTTAAAATTACATTAATATAATTATGGAAACAAAACTTTTGATTTCAAATACAAAAAAAGAACCTCTGCTTTAACAACTCAAAAAAATTGCATCATAAATAATTGGCCTAAATTCAGTTTCACCCTAATACACTTGATTTGAAAATCTTAAAGCTCTGATAGTTATTGCTTTAAAGCTTCTATTTTTTTAACCTTATTACAGATTTTTTTTTTATTTAGTAAGTGGCTTCTGATTACACTTTCGTTTTTTAATAAAAATTCAAAAGAGAAATTCATTATTGAATACTTCATAATCCTATTGGTAATTTAATCTTAAGATCAGATTCATACTTATTTTGATGTGACATTAAACTAATAGTTCTATCCTCTGCTAATTCTAATTCTAAATCTTGATATCTATTCTTCCAATATTCAGCTTCAAATAATGCTCTCTATTATTTTTTATTTCAAATATAAAGACCTTCCCTCAATTTTACATTTTTATCTTATTAAGATACATATACGGGTACTTCACTTGGAATTTCATATCAATTGGATATTGCATTTTTTCAACAATATGTATTCTTCTCATTCTTCTAATTCTATCCAATTAAACTTCTGATTTTATGGAAATCTTAGACTCTTACTAATATTCTTTCTCTCTCAAATTTTTAATCTTTAAACCTATTATTCAGTTAATATAATAAACTCTTAATTTCTGATCGCTTTAATTTTTATTCAGTTAATTCTCCTTAATAGAAAAGAACTTGTTCATTTAAATCACTATATAGTATGTTTTTGATTAATTTATTAAAGTTCATCTATTAATCTTTTTTGTATCATTTCTAAAATTATCACTTCTCTTTTTAATTAATTGATTTCATTAAAAAAATCATACATCTTCCTTAAGTTTTTTAATTTTGTTGTTCTTCTTTTTTTAATCGATCTTCAATCCATTCAATCTTTCATCTCCTTCATTAACTAAATCTTTATTAGCCTTTACCTTAGGATCAGTTTCTGCAGTAAATTTAACTAAATTATGAT